GTATTTTTAACCAATGTAATTAGATGCGTTTCAATTTTGTCCAATGATGTGAAATCACGACAGTCAAAACCGGAAAACGAAAATATGAATCGCGACAATAAAAACCGGACAGAGGTAGTAGAACAGATCATCTTACAGAGGTGGTCGGCGTTTTTAGGGGTGTCGGCTTTTTCCGGGGTTCACTGTAATGTCGACCCCGCCGGTGGAGATAGACTCGCGAGCTAACTACTCTATTGTCATGCCGGCGCCAAACAAGCGGGAATGTAGGATGGGACGGCGAAGTGCCTTGTTGCGGGGAAGGCGTTCCGCTACTGCCATTCTACAAGTTGGCAGCAGTGGAGACGATACAACTGCGTCGGTCGCTTCTTTTGAGGATGGTGTCGTCACATGGGGTTGGATGCGGAGGTGTGCATACTGGTTGAGAACAATGCGACGAAAGTTTGGCGTCCCTGCCATGTTGCTTGGGCCGCACGCTGGTGCTAGTGGGGACTCTCTAGCGCTGGATGATTGAAGCTGACAAAAGTTTGTCAAGACCCCCTAGCCCATGATGACGGATGCCCCAGACCTGTAGAAGGGTGTCGGTCGACACATGGCGCGAAAAAGTGCGACAACTCGATGTCGCATCTAATGCCATGTGATCGCTTGTTTGGCAGAGTCGTCGATACCAATTGTGTTGATGCAGCGGGGTTTCACCACTCTAGTGGATTACGTCGTGAACGCTGCTGCGCTATGGAGACGAGATGAGGGAAGAAATGTGTTACGAATCGCCGCCAGCCTAGGGAGCGCGGGAGCGCGTTTTCAAATATTCAACATCGCCATGTGCATGCCTGTTGACAATCGACGGAGTGCAATGGTCACGGGGAAAGACGCGATCGCAAAAGTTACTGAGGCTGAACTTCCGGGTCGGGTGGACTCGGCTCCACCACGAATTGGTGGAAGAAGGAAATGCCTTCCAACGTGCATATGTAATCGTAGTTAGGATGCAGCTATCTGTAATATGTAGGTGTCATGCACATCCCGTCCAACTACTGATTTCCACCCGACTTTTAAACGGCGACTGAGTAATAACTTTAAAAGGACACCAAATAAACAGGTACAAATTGTTACAATTGGATGGCCGCCACATGGTCGCTAAATGTCGACAGTTCAGTGTCAAGAATGCCTGTCCGATTCCAGCAGTTAACAACTGTCGCTTGTGTCACCGACCGCCAGGCCTCCTTTGCCCAAGACATTGCCTCCACCAAAGGTACCTCGTAGAGACCATCTTGTCTACCAGTCATCACAGAATCAATCTGTTGCAGGGCATTCTGCACTTGGAGCTGTTTCTCTCTCGCCTTGAACGAGGCAATGATGCCAGCATCCTGGGGCTGCAGGTGAGCTGTTGTATTCTTCGGTGTCATTTTCACCTTCACATTTGTCAATAGGGACTCATCGTCGGGTCTATGTGGTGGCGCGTTGTCGGCCAGAAGGAGAACCTTTCGGTTCTCGGAAAGCATCCGTTGGTTCAATTGCAGCAGGTACGTGTTGAAAATCCACCGGTCATCCATCCTTTTTTGCTCGATAGGTAATTGAAGCCAAGGTCAGCGGCCGCAACAGCGTTGAAGCACCGCGGTCGGGCAGCAGTGCCAATTGTAAAGCAGATCGACGATGTCCGTACCGGCAGCATTGGTGGTAAGTGCAATCGTGATTCGTTTTTTGACTTTTTCCTCCCTGGTTGTCGGTTGCGTGTGATTGAACGATTTGGCGATATACAGTAAATGAACGACGTCTCATCCGTTGTGAGCACTGTAGCCACCGGTGGCTGCCTTCATTTCTTGACGGCCCTCGGCGACGACAGCAGGGGACACAGAGGCAGCCTCTCCATGCTGCACTTTGCTCGTAAGTCCATGCTTGACTTGGAACTTAAATAACCATCCCTTAGTGAAGGCGATGCGTTTCGAAGCGGGGATGTTCATTTGGTCGCAAACGATAGACGCCTGCTTGCGGATGAGGTCGCCAGTGATGCATATCCCCAAGTCTTCGCACCGCAGGACCCAAGCAAGGACACTTTGTTCGACAGCAGGCAGGGAAACAGGACGGTCAATACTACGCATTTTGTTGTCTGCACGAGGGTTTAGCGTAGTGTGTCATTTTAGTACATTTCCAATTGTCGCTTTAGTTGGGATTGATGCGAGGGTGAACTTTTCAGCAGCCCATGTAGCCAACTGGGAGTACATAGGGGTTGGATGTTCCTTGTGATGAGCATACAACTCGCGCTTATCGAACAAGGTCATGCGTAGCTTCATGAATTCAATGTGGCATCATGCAAACATCATTGAGCCTTTTGACATTTCAATTTCTCCTCGACATTCTATATTATAAATTCATTAAAATTACTACTCTGGTCCACATTAACTGTCCCATTTTTTTTACTTGATTAAAGTATACTGGCCAAGCTCGAAATGTCTTGAAGTTTGTATTGGTCTCCGAAAAGCAATATTGGTCGACGATATTTTTATTGTATTTTTATTCTGCACTCGACCCTACTTGTTCTTGAGAATTGACCAAGGCTTCCAAATGAGATTCCTCTCCAAGGCGACTTTCCAAATGGAGAAGTGCACCTTCGACAGCGGTCAAATTGCATTCGACATTGAACAATGCTAAGTCTGAAATGGTCGCATCCTTTCTCATATGAGGAAGTTTATAGTTGTTGCTTCCGAGCATTTCAATTGACTTTTGCATCACCTTCTGCAGCGTTATGAACGTTTTAGAAAGTGTGTCCATCGGCAATTCATAAAACGCTGCTTCCACAGCACCAATGAGCTCCTCGATTGAACGAGTCGACTTTTGATGCTGCAGACTTTGAATAGAGTTAAAGAAGCCTAAGTCCAAGACATTGAAGTCAGGACTGTTGGGAGGTTGGTTTTCTACTCTAATCTTTTCTATTCCCCTTTGGGCTAACAGCTCGGTCAACACACAGCGGTGGGGGCTCGCGCGTTGTCTTGTTGGATGACCACGCCACGAGCCAAGGTACGCGGTGGAAAACGCTCCAAAATAGCTGGGACAACCTTGTCCATGATCGCCTTCTTGTAGACCTCGCCGTCCACAACTTGTGGGACGACCACGGGGGTCCCCTTGGCACGATTCTTGCTGTTGCGCTTGGCGGGCTGGACGACGACGAAAGGCCACACGCCAACCTTGCCGTCGAAATACGCCTTCTTCGTGTAGTCGTACTGGGGCCGTGCCACCGCGGCCAAGAACATCACCTTGGTAATGAACTGCTTCGACTTGACGGCACGTACGGCCACTTCTTCGTCGTCGTAGACGTAGAACTTCCGCTTGACCTTTGTCAAGTAGAACCACTTCTCATCGACATGAACATACTCGTTCATGTCGACAAAAGCGTGGTTCCCACTTGGCAAAAGTCGCACGAACGACTTGGCAAAGTCCAGGCGCGCGCTTGTGTTGGCTTCGGTCAGCATGGGCTTGACGTAGCTGGCCCGGGACTTGAGCCGCTTGGTCTCTTGCATGTGGCGGACGATGGACGTCTTCGGCAGCCCACAGTGTGCCGCAAGGGAACGGAGGGTTTGGCGTTGGTGCTGCGGTACGGCCTTGATGGCGCCCTCGAAATCACCCGCCAAACGTGACTTTTTTCACCCGAATTGCCTAAAAAATCGATTCCCTCTTAATATTTATAATTGCATAATTCAATAGGTTGGACGTGGAATATAATATATTGGAGGTTTTACCCTTGAGTTTCGAGTTGACATCGGCATGCGGTGACCCGTCGGACAGCGAGAGGCGCCCACGCTTCCACACGCGCGATATGGTCTTCCAGTGGCACTTAAAGTACGCAGCAACGTCCTTTAACGCGCCGTACTTAAGACGGCCGTTGGTCGAGCTCTGTAGGAGCAGTTCGTAAGCCGTGCGGCGCTCGGTCGGCGTGAGGTGGCATGTGGTGCTTTGGGACGCCGTTTGCATCGTACAGAGGCGC